GCTCGCTCTTCCTCCACGTGGGTGGGGGAGAATTTGAGGCCCAAGCTCTAGGCGGTCTCGGACTCCCAAGTCCGCTTCGATGCGTTAGACTTCCTTTTTTTTTGCTGCAAAACAGCAAAATTTTCCATCTTTTCTTGCAGTTTTGTGTCGTGTGTCTTCACCGTCACGTTGCAGAGTAACGTGCAGCATAAATTTATGTGTGCAGCCCTTTGGTGAACGAGGAGTAGGGGACAGTGCTCATAAGCTTCTGTCAGAAGAAGGAGGCAGCAGGGGATGAGGGCTGTAATCTCCAAAGTTAGGCTAAAATCTAGTGTTCAGAGCAAAGGTAATGTGACTGATACAGAATAGCTTTATGCTTGAAAGTTAAACTTCACCTAAGGTATCTAGCAGTCATTTTATGTAGTTACTGCAATGGGGGGTGTTATTTGGGTGTTAGCGTTATGCAGTATGGGGATTTTTCCGGTTAGAGCACTTACCCAGAAAGTGAGGCATCTGGACGACATCCCCCACAGCCTGTGGAAAGTGCTGCTTGTGAGGCAACAAGTGGGTTCGAGGTGCTCCGCACCACTGCTACTGAATTTTCTTTTTTACTGCTCCGCAGCATTTGTGAATCCAAGTGTAATTCGGTCACAAAGGCATTCAGGTTTGCTTTGGTGGTCCGTTGTCGGCTGTCAGTGACCACAGATGTGGGCTGTCTGGTAATTGAAAATGTGAACTGTCTCAATGGTGAAAGGACTCCCTTTTCAAGAGTTTGCTACTGGACTCCACTACTCCTGAAAGATGGGGATTCTGTTTAAAAGTTGGCATAATAGTGTTGGCTTGGAGAAAGGGTGTATTTTGTTCCACAGGTATCCTGGGTGCAAGGTTGTTGGTTATGTTGTAGTTGCAGGTACTCAGAGTAGTGGCATCATACCAGGTGCCTGGTGTTCTGGCATTGACGATATCCGACTCGTCTAAACTTCAGTCTTGTGAAATATCACGACTCTTGCTAGCAGGTGCGCTTGGGAGATGACAATTTGGCAAGCTCTGAAATTTCTTAGGGTGAAGGAGAAGAAACTGGAAAACATAAAAACTGCTAAATCTGGTTATACTTCTTTGGGGAGGGTTGGCTCCTTAGGGATGCAAGGTGAAGGGAATGACTCCAGGTTTGGGCAGTTCACTTACAGGCTTGTGTGTTGTCTTTCCTCCTTTTTTTTTCCTCCTGATGTCCTGATTTTTAGAGTTGTTGGGCAACCAAAGACCGGTACACCTCTACTGGCTTCTGATGATACAGATATGAAACTGGGACAAAGAATAAATGTTTGGTGGGAATCAGTGTTTTAATGTTTACAGTTGACCTTATTCTGTATTCCTAGTAGAGTTCCTGATGCAGCTTCATGTTACACTTAATCTCCTCCAGTGATGGGCTGTTGTCTGCCTCTGTATCCCTTAGTTCCGATCTAGAAATCGCATGGCCTTGAGATGAGTTGTTTTCCCTCACTGCTCTGATGGAAAGTGAACAGACCTTGCCAGAAAAAGAAAATAATGTTGATTTTTAACAAGCTGAACTTACTCATATGGAAGCACAGGGGTGCCAGTTATGATGCAGGTGAAGTTGAAGTGCGCTGTGATGGGTGATGCAGAGAACAGAAATGTCCTTTCGAGTAGCGTCCTGCAGTCAGGCTGTGTATGAAATTGTAGTTTCTGTTAATTGTCCAAAGCTGAGCTAAAACTGCTCAGCGACTGGGTGGGTTGTTTTGCGCACCCCTTTTTTCGGTTCTCCCTGTCCTTACCTTAGCTCTGGCTGCTGACAGTTGGAGGGCCAGTTGGATTAGTTAGCTGATCAGACAGCAAGCTGATTTTCTTTTTGATTTTGTTTTTTCTAACTTAGCTTTTAGTTGAAGCAAGTATCGGTACGAAAGAGCAGGAGGGAGAGGTGGGACTTCCTCTTCTAGTGGCAGTGCTGACTTATTGTAGAACTGTGCTGTGCGTGATGCTGCTGAGGGCGTACAGAAGTCTCCCAGAACGGTTAGATTCTTGGTATGGCTAAGCACAATGTTTTTACACAAACAACTTCTTCCTTCAGTACTTGAGAAGTACTCGTTTCATCTGTGTCAAAGATATTTCCTAGGGAAAGCGACCACTTTATCTTAAGACGTTTTCTTAAAAGCAGCTACCAGTATTCTGAAGAAACTTCACTAGATCACAGTTCATGTCTCTCCCTCTTGGATTAGTCCTCATGTGACTCACGTTCTGTTTCTAGGGAGGAATGCTATTATGTTAGTAATAGATTTAAATACGTGAATCTAAATAACACCAAGTCCTAGAAGATCTTCTGTTCTAACGGAGGAGAAGGAAAAGTGAAAAGGCCAAGCGCTGCCAAAGTAGTTGAATTTATACAGCAGTTAATGATATCTTTATTACATTCTGTACAATTTAAATGTTTGCAGGATGATGCTGTTAGTATTGAAAGCGGTACTAACACCGAACGCCCTGATACACCAACAAACACTCCTAATGCACCAGGAAGAAAAAGCTGGGGGAAAGGAAAATGGAAGTCAAAGAAGTGCAAATATTCCTTCAAATGTGTAAATAGCCTAAAGGTAGGTATGTGTAAGCTTTAATGGGGGAATACTGGGTACCACTTGCTGGCAGTAATGTTAATGTTGACCGTGAGACAGTGTCAAGATAAATACTTTTAAATATCTGTATATAATTATGTTCCGTGCTCATTTGAAGAAAGTACCTTTCTTATTTGGAATAGCTGAAGCTTTGAAGAAAAAGGATACTGAGAAATAGGAAGCAGTAGGTAGTGCTGCAATCAACCCAATTTTTGTGCAGGTTTGCAAAGTTACATGCAGTGTGTTATTATTACGTATTTCATTGAAGCTGTAGCTGTTTGAGATAAATCTAAGAAACTGGATAAACAAATTCAAATAAAATAAAACCTGTGACGACTTGATGCAAAGCATAGAACCTCTACAACTTTTTCTACCTGTTGAAAAGTATTTTTAAAAAAAAAAACGCTAAACAACCCAACAATCTTGGAGTAGCTTTTTCCTTTTCCTCTCACTTACCAGTTGAGGTATTTTCTGTCCTCTGGCAATTGTCATAAATAGGCAATTTGGTTAATTTATCGTGAGCGTTGTGATTATGTGTTTGCACTTGATCTAGGTCATATTTATCTTCCCACATAATACCTGATGGTGTTAAAACTGTGAATCCACATCCCTTTATCTCCTGTTCTTGTGTTTTAGGGTAGTATTCTTTTTTTCTGCACTGGTGACAAGACTATGGTGGACTGAATGAATTTTCTCTTCTTTTACACTGTGGGGATGTTGTTTTTTCATTCCCCAGCCTTGTGTGGGATATTTATGTGGCAAAAGCTGTAAATATGCCATCTGATTTGATTCTTATAAGATTTCTAAATAAAGAAAAGATTGCGTCTGGAACAAGATGGGAGTTTTGTTAAACTTCATATTTAGCTAACAAGGGAATGTGTGCAGCAGAGAATAGTGGATATTTTCTGCAGAATTGCTTTAAGAGGTTTTTGTCATTCCCCCACGCTTAACTCTTGAGCTGTGCTGATGTAGCTGTTTCTGAACTTTGGCTTCAGATGCCTCACTGAAATGCTGGGGTAGCTGAGTGGGAGGGAATAAGAGGTTTGGAGCACGGGAATCTCATAAAGGAGCTTTGCCACTGCAGAAATTGTGATATGAAGTTACACTGGCAAAAGTATCTGGAAAACAAGTTGATCTTAATGTGTTTTTTGAAGTATAAAAATTATCTCCAGCCCTTTCAGGGTGTAGGAGGAAGGGAAGCTCTTTTGTTTCCACCTAGGTAGGCAGCTGTTCCTGTGATATGCAAGAATCGCCTCCGCAGATAGTGCTTTTTGTGGCTTCAAGTCATGCTTCAAACACAGGCACAGGCCTTTCGGCACCCAAACATTTAACAAGTTCTGAGTTTTGCTAAGCATATTTGTTTTCTATCTGCAGACCAAATATTCCAATCTAGTTATTATTTTTCAAGTGTCTTCTGGGAAAACAGAACAATCCCTCACCCCAACTTCAATCCAGGCCCCACTATAGGGTGACCCCGTGAAGTTAAGCAATCCCTGACTTCTGCAGATTTGGATCAGGGCCTGGAAATGGGTTCCTGTGCAAGTGGAATCAAGCTGTGAGGGAGTAAATGTAGTGTTTCAGCTAAGTGGGGTATTTTTATTATCTTTTCTTCCCATTTCTCTTTGAACTGAAATTAATGATAATAATAATAAACATGCATGTTAATACAAAGACTAGGTAGCAGCCAAATTTGGTAACTCCTTTTTACTTAATGTTTGAGGAAGCCTCTCTTCTTTTTCCTGTTCTTCCATACTAATTTTGCAGATACTGTGGAGATGAACTCTAACAATTGAATGTTGTATATCGGTTCAGAAAGACATTTGTGATTCTTTGGATATCACATCATATATCCCATAGTTTGTATGTCTTTGAACTATGCTGTAAGGTGCATGTACTGACATTAATGAAGAGTTAACATGATTTAAAGACGTGGAAGTTAGTATTATTTAGGGTTGTATAAAGTATGTGTTTTTCCAGTTTCCTACTCTTGTTTTTCCTTCTTATTTTGCTTTTTACTCTTATTCCTTGGGGAAACAAAGAAATATGGCCATTACCGTCTGCTTTGAATGTTAAATGGTTATGATTCAGCCTGAAAAACTCAGTGCTTGCTAAATATGCTTTTTAAACACTACTGTGGAAGTTATTTCGGGTGAAATTTAAGCATTGGGAAAACAAAAATATAACTTGGAAAATTACAGGAAATAAAAAACTGCTTTTTTTTTTTTTTTTCTTTTTGCAGTACTAAGTTACACTAAGGTGTACTGTAAGACCTTTGCTCTCTGTGGGCTGAATGGAAATGTGGTTTATAAATGAGCATATACAGCTAACATCCTCGCATATGTCCATATAGGTTTTGCTTATAGATCTTTCAGCAAAGAACTGTGTGTATGCTGCTTTGATGTGCTCCCTTTAAAACAATGCTGTTATTTACCCTACCCGTTGCTCTTGCTTGAGTGTGGCTCAGTGGTTGTTAGCAGTCCAGCGTTGTCTCTCAGCTTCTACTTGCTGTCCCCTGAGCTGGGAATCGGTAACCAGCCACATGCAAGATTCTAGCTTGTTGAGGTGTAAAGGAGAGGTAACTAAAACCACTGCCAGTACTGGCTTGCTTCCGCTTCAGGGAACTGGAAACGCATGTGTGGTTGGTTGGTTCCTCGCTGGCAGTGTGGGTGACAGTGTATTAAAATGTGTTCATGCAGTTGCAGGTGATTATTTTTTGCGTTGGCATGGTATTTACTTCACTGCCGTCAATCTAAAGACAGGTCCAGCCTTAATGTCTGACTGACCCTGAGTTGGCGTTGAGTGAGTAAGGGCAGAACTAACCATTGATTATTTATTTATTTGCCTTTTTGTAACAGTTGTGGGTCTGTTTTCTCCTCTGCCTTCTTTCTCTGGTGCATGAAGAACCTGAGTACTTTGGGTTTTGTGCCCTTTATTCATACCAGGGTCAAGATGGCATTTCACAATTTTACTTTTGGACCAGCATCTGGGTCATTTTTCTGTCTGTACAAACCAGTGGTCAGATTTGCATGACATACTTGGCATCTCAGGATAACCATAAGGTGCAGCACCTAGAAGTGTAATGTTTTTTTTAAAAACTGCTTCATTGTTTAGCACCTGGGACAAAAATTAGAGTGGACAGGCATTATCAAAATAGCTATGTGCTGTCTCTGACCAGTGAGTATGATGGTAGTTCAAATGAGGTGAGCATAACTTCTTCAGATACCCTAGTGACTTCCTGCAAGAGCCTCTGCCTGACTCCTTTATCCATTAAACACCAGGAAAAACTGCGATACGTGCAGTCAGGCTCTTGGAGGTTGTAGCACTTGATGTGAGGAATGTAGTGCGGATGATACAAGTAGTCTAAAGACATATGTCTCGCAGAGTAATTTTTCTAGGGAAATAGGTTGTCTTTGAAAAAGCTTACTAAATACTTTAGGTATGTACTCAAACATAGAACTACGGAAACAGTATGGCCCTCTGTTGTATCTCTCTACTTACTATGTATCATGCTAGTCTGGGTCCTACCTAGAAAATCACAAAACTTATCACAACTTATGCTGGAAAAAATGTCCTATCTTGAGGGGGGGAAAAACATTTTCCTCTTCACTTTTCCCATTTCACTAAATTTATCAGAAGCAGTGTACATGACAGAGAACAAGGTTATTCCAGAAAAACAAGCGCAAAACCTGCTAATACATCTCTGTAATAAAGTAGTAAGAACTCATGCATGTTACCTGGGTTATCTTCATGCAGTATGTCAAAAGCCCTCAGTATTCACCAGCATGAGCTCTTTCACACAGAAATTCAAAGCTGACTAATTATTAGTGGAAATTTTTTTTTAAGTATTCTGTATTTGACCTCTCAGCCATTCTCATCAAGGAAGACTTAAATACACTCAAAAAAATAAGCCTAGAAAGGAAAATTCATAACTTCATTGGACACTACAGTCATGGCCTTGTGTATGCAGTTTTATGGTGTAGAGTTTTCCTCATCCTTCATCTCTAACTAAACTGTAGTGCTTTACAGATGCTGAATACCTGCTTTTTCCTTCTGTCACAGGGTCACTAATAACCTTGCTACTTTTCCCTTTGCTAATATCCCATATCCCTCATCACATAAAGCCGCTAGTCTGTTCTTTGATGTTATGATGGGTAATACTTTGTGCTAAACTTTGAACAATTCTTTTTAATCTGTATTCAGCTTTGAAAGTTGCTACCTCTCTTAAAGAATTGCAGGAGGGCCTTCATCTCTGAAAGGTTTTCCCCCTTCTTTTTCTAGCTCTTCTAACTACGTTAATAACAGACATTGCCTTTCTCGGTAAATAATGCTGTTTTAAATTCTTCCAGGCTTCCTTACTTTTCTTTTTCTGAGTAGTGTTGGACTCCCCACCCACACCCCCTCCTCAAATTTATTCTTTGGTTCTTGGATAGGCCAGAGCTGCCAGGGCTAATATTTCTCCTGTTGTCTCTGAAGCACTGCCATTTAAAGGCTGCTTAACAGCCATCCTGAGACACTTCCTTCCTGCCTGCACTGTCCCAGACAGTCCCCTGTGGGGAGGCACTTTAATGAACATTATTCTTACTGAAAACATCCTGTCAGGACAGGCCAAAATACTGTTATCAATTATTAACAAGCACCACCATATTCATCACAATTCATAAACATGTCTGATTCTTTTTTTCCTCTATTAAACTGATGTAAGCTGTATAAAAATAATACTTGGCATTTCTCTGGTAACTGTTTGTGAAGGTGATCTGAAAACACTTTGTAGACATGAACTTTGTAGCAGCATTGTGGCACACTGGAGTGTTTGTCATGTCTGTGACAGTTGCAAGACCTAACTGTGCTGTAATAGTTAAATGTGGCCCTTCTCCACCCTTATAGCAGTATAATTCCTCTCTGTCCTAATAATTCTTCTCTGTGAAGTTGTAAATCCTTGTGTGGAAGTAATTATTACAGTATAAAATGCGTATAGATGTGGCCTTAGATGTAGAGGTTGCCTTGCTGAAAATTGCAAAACAAAATTGTAGAGCTGCAAATATAACTCAGGAGTTCTGCCAGCTTCTGGCCATAACTGTGAGACAACATTTCTTCCCCTTCACTTTTTAAAAGCTTGGAGGGGGGAAGGAGGAGAAAGAAGGGAGGGGCAGAATGTTCCTTTAACCTCCCTTAAGACAGCGAAGTTAAAATGTGATGTTATAAAACTGTTCTTTTCAACCATTCACTATCTGAAATTATTTTGGATGTGAACCCAGTAGTTTGAGGAGGAAAACATATCAATTAAACTGTATACCACCAGAGCTGAATTTCACATATATTCTACAATATGCCTGTGGGTTTTGTTGTTTGGGGTTGGTTGTTGTTTTTTTTTTTTTTTTTTTGTCTCTAATCTTACTTTACATCTACAGGAGGACCATGGTCAGCCTTTGTTTGGAGTCCAGTTTAACTGGCACAGTAAAGAAGGTGATCCTCTTGTTTTTGCCACTGTAGGCAGCAACAGAGTGAGTAATCTGTTTTTAGCCATAAGCTCTTCCGTGTAGTTATGTTTGCATTCTTTTTTTCAACCAATCCCTTTACCTGTCTTTACTATGGACACAGGATACTTCATACAGAAAGCTTTATTTCCGAGATATGTAGCATCTGTGATCTTGGGAGAGTTGCATCCTCTGGATTGTTTTATGAAGTCATGTGTTAACTATTTGGGAATTAGCCTATATAGTAAAGAAAAAAATCCTTCAGTAGTGTAAACATGGAATAAGGAAGAGAGGTGCATAAATGTATCTTCGCATTAAAATTACTCTTCATAGATGTTATTGTTTCCAAAAGGTCATACGCTCTAAAATGGGATGAGGAGTGTCTGCAGTGATGCCAGGTAGCTCAGTAGCTAAATTAATGGCCTGTGTGGAGTGAATTTATAGGCTTTTTCTGACCAAGGATCTGTGTCATTTCAGTCTTGAAAATAACTCCTGAAATGCATTCTATGCAAGTGTTGTGAGTAAACAAGAAGCCTTTTATTTCCAGGTTTGTTCTACCTGGCAGTTACCAAAAGTGCTAAACAAGGCATCAATGGCTCATTAAAAGACCAGGTCATGTGAAAGATGGCTGCAGTAACTAATTCCAAACAGCGTTCAATCTTACTAAGACAATTTGAATAGTAGATTTTAATGCCTGGGAAGGACTGCTGACAAGTCCTGGAGTGGTGCTTTTCTGAAACTGCTGTGAGCATTCTTTTATCAAACCATTTCCACCTGTTGAAAACAAACAGATGATGGATGAGATCTAAACCGTAAAGGCACACTACCTCTCCCCATCAGGAAGTCGGTACACAGGTGCATGTGATTTCCTTTTGAAATATCACAAGTAAGCAGCAATCTTTCCCACTTTTTTTTTTTTTTTTCCCTCTCCAGGTTACTTTATATGAATGTCATTCCCAAGGAGAAATCCGTCTGCTGCAGTCGTATGTGGATGCTGATGTATCCTTTTAAGTTAAAAAGCCACGTGTTTGCTTCCTCTTTATCAAAAATGAAGAGGCTTTGTAGAAGAAAGCATAGGAAGGTTTTGTCTGTGATTTAAGACTTTGCTCGTGTGGCACATTCTTATGTTAGGTCCAAGTTTTACCTCTTTCCTGCATCCTCGATTCCCTCCTATTGAAATAATATTAGAAATGTAGACTCATGGAACATGCTGTATTAAAGTATTTGAAAACTGATTCTCCATCAGTTTAATCTTCCCAACAATAATATTTGTGTAACGTTTCACATTTGCTGCTTTACAGTGGTCTCAGTTTCCCTGTGAATTGGAACTGGGTTTAAAGTCTAAGAATTATGTTTCATGCTCTGAAGTGGTAATAACTTTTGTTGATCATTTGCAGTACACAAGTCAGTAACTTGTGAACTCAGTCTTGATCCGTCCTCATTTTATTCCTGGTCTTTGGATGTTTTGGAGAAAGAGGTTGAAAAGTGATGCCAACAGAGAGAAGGTGTGCCTTGTTATGGAACAGAATTGAGGAAACTGGCATCTATAGAAAAGGCAATGTTGATTGTATTTGTAGATGTATAATCAAATATGTATCTTTTTCTTACTGGGTCCAGCAGAGGCTCCTGGGCACTTGCATAAAATAGCAACAAGTCTACTTAAAAAAAATCACCTTTTAAAAAAAAAAAAAGTGCTTCTTTTGCTTTTAAAAACAAAATCTCCTGTTTCTTCTGTGTTCCTTAACATGAGATGTTGTAGGCAGATGAAAATTTCTATACCTGTGCGTGGACATACGATAGCAATACAAGCCATCCTCTTCTGGCTGTGGCAGGGTCCAGGGGTATTATTAGGATAATTAATCCTATTACAATGCAGTGCATAAAGGTGAGTGCTCAGAACTTTGAGACACAGCTTGCATTTCAGTAAGGCATGAAACTTATGTCTTCTAAAATCGTGTAAACATGAGGGGAAATGATAACTTGGTCTCTGAATTCTATCCCAGCACTACGTGGGCCATGGAAATGCAATCAATGAACTGAAATTCCATCCAAGAGATCCAAATCTCCTTTTATCTGTAAGCAAAGGTGAGGAAAAAAGCCTCTTTTGTTTTTGTGTAAATCAGGATACTTTGGATTGGATTTTGGTCTTGAAAATGGCCAAAACCTCCATGAATTTTTTTTTACTAATGGCACTGAACCAGTTTACCTTGAAAGTTGAGAGCAAATCTTGCTCTTTTATGGCTATATACATATGTACATCTTAACTCCATGGCCTACAATAAACATAACTCCACCTGTGGTGCAAAGGGATTGTGAACGGTACTGCTTTTAGGGAAGAAGAAACATGAGCATTGGGGTTGCTCTTTACCTTCGCTAACAGTCATTTTTTCGGTTGTTGAATCACGTTGCCATCTAGTGGGGATGTCGTAAAGTCGCAGACAGCATTCACCACCACGTTCATGGGAAAACTTCCATTCTCTGTTGCTCAGGAGCAGCTCTGACTTTAACTGAACTTTGTGGAAAAAGCATATTAGTGAAGGGAGAAGCGAGTTTTTGGTATGGTGTCTTACGGGCTTGTCCCGAATGTCTAAACAGTCTCAACTTCCTAATCTTGACTGTATTGTTAAGTAAGGGAATACCTGATCTGTCGCAAGAGCAAGGCTTCAGGAATGCTAGAGTTGGAAATGTTCACGTAAGGGGACTTTAGCGTATTTGCTATTACTGATGAAGCTACACAATAACAGGAGTTGGGAACCTCTCCGATTCTTGCAACTGTCAAGTTTGTGCTGTGGGTCTGCAACGTTGAATTTCTTGCGTTCTGTATGGTTTTTTAGGTTCTCTTTTTAATAATATTTTGACATCAGCCATAGTACTACAAGTTTTAATGTGCTATCTCGGGACCAGGTACTATCTCTGAGAGGGCATGAGGCAGGAGAATATTGGAGCCTCAAAACTGCTTGGCTGAGAGATGAGTAGAAAAAAAGGGAAATATTTGGGACTGTGTGGCCTTCCAGTTGATGTTGCTGTAAGTCAGTGCAGTGAACTCGTGGAATCCAAAAGGGAAATACAGTAGAGGTTCCCATTTCCAAATTGGAAATACAGTAGAGGTTCTTCATTAGAAATTGTTAAAACTTTCTTTAAAAAGTGGATTAGTCCAATTGACTTTGGAGTACATATTGTTTATAGAAACAGTGTCTTCCCATCACTACAGTCTGTGGTTCGTAAAGAATAATATTTTAAAGATTAAAAATATGAAAAATCAAAACTTCTCTGAATGCTGATGTAAGAATGGCTGAAGGGAATTCTAGCATTTTTTGGTATATACAATTATTTTCGAGATAAGACTGAATAAAAGCATGTTTTTCAAGATCAGATGACTCTTTGCTTTTTGGATGATCTAAAGATCCAAGGATATTTTTGTTAGAAGCTGTCCCTAGGGGAGGAGGGTGGGCACGCTTTGTCAATTACAGAATTACTCTAACAATAGTTTAGTTGTAACGGCAATTTTAGTTAATGCAGTTCCATTGTTTCTTACAAGTGAAGAAGAACTAAGTGCCTTTTTGATGTTTACACGAACATCTGTTATTGAAAGTAGTTAAGCTGAAATATATTATTCATATGTACATATAAAAAGCAGCATGTAATTTTATTTGTTCTTTATAGATCATGCATTGAGACTGTGGAACATCCAGACAGACACGCTGGTTGCAATATTTGGAGGAGTAGAAGGGCACAGGGATGAGGTGTTAAGTGCAGTAAGTGGAAGACTGTGGGGCAGTGATTTAGATTTACAAAGGGTAGTAAGCCTACCGTATGCAACTTTTTATCCTCTTGTGCACTGTTTTGATATTATACCTAATTTAAAAAATCTTGAAGTGCATAAATACTGTTTTAAGGGGATAGACAAGTTTAAATCTAAGGTGGTTTGATTGACCTGGCCACCTCTCAATATACAGGACAGGTGTTCACTTTCTGCTAGTTTTCTCACAGTGCAGCCTAGAAGTAAACAAAATAGAGCTCAGTGGGGCTAGAAAGAGTAAAAAGTTTTCATGATGGTCCCACTTTTGAAGTTCTTGAGGTCTTATCAAGCTGAAGCAGCAAGAACAACTAAGCCTTGAGAGACATGGTAGTGAAGGAAAGAACTTACTTCAGGTGAGTTATGCTGCATTTCAGTGGCTGTGAACAGACACTGGTACCCAGCAAAAATCAGCTAGAATAGGTGACTTTTAATATGCTGTTCCTAAGAACTGTTTCCATTCCTGTTGTATAACCTGAAAAGTGAGGGGTGCATCTGTATGAAACCTGACACTGTATTATTCTCTTGTGGTTCTAAATAGTCATCACCCATGTGGTAGCCCTGGAATTCTGCCGAAGTTGCTCCATAAAATGAAACCTAGGGAATTTACTGAGGGGGGAGCATTAGCAGTAGATTTATTGTCTGTCAGTGCTGTTGAATATGCCTCCCTTTCTTGAGAGAGAGTAAATATAATTATTAAGATACTGTGCTACTTTGCAGTGAGCAGGTTTAAGTCATTATTTTTCTATTTGAAATACACACTTTTATTGTATTCTCTAAGCCAAAAATGCTGTTTTGATGGAAATGATGGACTAAAATCTGAGTTGATACAATGCACCTTAGGCTGGGGTCGTCAAAATTATTTCATATACATAGGATTATGACCTTCTTGGTGAAAAAATCATGTCCTGTGGGATGGATCACTCTCTAAAACTCTGGAGAATTAATTCCAAGAGAATGATAAATGCCATCAAAGAGTCTTATGAGTACAACCCAAATAAAACCAACAGGTATGTAGTCTTCGTCTTCTTGGCTGTCTTTGCAAAACATGAATATTCTCATCAATGGCCCAGATTAATTCCTATCTAAATTGGGAGTTCTTGGGGATAGCGAGTGACCTGGGGGTTGTGCTGCATACTGAATCCCTCTGCAAGATGTGTCTTATTGATGTTTGCTTCAGTAGAATTTTACTGAATTAAGATTTAAAGTCCTGATGCTTTTATTTGTAAATATATTAATTATTTCTTATCTGCTTGACTAGAAAATATCTGGAACTATTATCTTTATAATTCTTAATTAAACACAGTGAAATACAAGCTTGTCAATGGCTTTTCTTTCTCTCACCTCAAAATTCCTAGGAAGCAATCAAATCCATGTAATTAAATATAGCAAATAGTTTATGTTGGGTAGTTATTACTAATTATTGTATCTGTTATCTGACTTTGGGGTGGGGACAAAACCGTTTATGTAGTAATAACCTGAATTTTCATCATGCTCTGATGTGACCTCAGATATGAATAAATTGTCAAGTAAACATAGCAATTAGATACATGCTAGATAAATCCTCCTTTATGAAGTTCATCAACTTTTTAATCTTAACTTCCAGTTAAACCATTGAGAGAATTGAAGAGTCTAAAACACACTGAACATGTTCAGCAATGAGACTAGCTGTGAAAATACTCTCGCTTTTTTTGGTAATGTTACCAAATATTAAATGATGCTTTTTTAGCGTGCTTTTTTAAAATTATGGGTTTTTTTCTAGTGTGCTTTTCTGTTTAACAGTTTAGATGTTGCAAAAGCAGCATCAGGAAAACTGAGCTTTAATTTGTTCTTGAAGTATTTGGCATGGAAGCTGTATTCGGCATCTGAAGGAGTGGTTTTGTTTAGCACTGTCTCGGCACAGTCTTGTACGGTGGGAAACATTTCATCAGGAATGAGATGAAAACAGGGACTGTTCCCACTGTTTAAATAAAAACCCTAACAGCAGAACAACATACAAAATCGACTTTGTTATAAAAGTGTTAAAACAACAACAGAGACAGGCTTGTCCTTTTAACATTGAGATATCTTAAAACTGGTCATTAAAAATTAGACTTGTGCTTCTGTGTTTCTCCAAACCTCACTTGGCAATTTTTCTCCATAGGCCTTTTATTTCCCAGAAAATTCACTTTCCTGACTTTTCTACGAGAGACATACATAGAAACTATGTTGACTGTGTACGATGGTTGGGAGATCTAATTCTTTCCAAGGTAAAGTGGCAGCTTTTTCAGCTATATTACTCATACTTGCTTGTTTTGAGGATCTTAAACAGTAGAAGTGTTACTAGAATTTGGGTTGTAGGTTAACTTAATATGCTAGGTCAAATGATTTTATGCAGTGTATTGTGAATTTTGTCAGCTGTCAGGATGTGTGGATAAGCAGCTTGTACTTAAAAAGCAAAATTATTACTACAGCTGTACCTCTGCTAAAAGTACAGGGAAACCAACTAACCAGATTGGTAGAGAATACAGAAGGAGAATATATACATACAGATGAGGGGTCTTGCTGCTAAAGGGAGAAATGAGGGTTCCCTTAATGGACTAACTTCGATTTGTGTTTGCGTCCACCAGTACCATTTACTTGCAGATAATAAACTGGGCGGCCTTACTGCCTCTTTGCCAGAAATTGTTGCATGCATGGTCCTGTTGGTTGGAGGGGTTGGGTAAACAGTCCTCAAGTCTAGGTTCACCTAAACTGCTCATGCAAGTGTGTTCGAGCACATCTGGTTGACTTCCTCTGAAGTGGGTGAGGTGGGGCTTGTGCAGTCCTGTCACCTGGCAAAGCTGTGAGGGCAGCAGGCTCCCAGCGATGGGCAGTGACGTATTGTTGATGAGGACAGAGTTTCTAAGGACAGAGGTGAGAGTTTCAGTTTTATGGTTATTTTTAATGTAGTTGGGGAAGCTGTGAGGTGAAATGTTTTTATCCTCGTGTTTATAGCTAGACTGCTATATAAATTGTGTAATATAATTGTATAATAATTGTATAATTGTATAATAATATAGTTTATAA